GTTGTTGGCCTCTTTGACCTTGCAGTTTTTAGTCCACTTAGGCCTCAGAGACATGTAATAGGTCTGAACCCAGAAAAACAACTTAATTTTTTAAAGTTTTTATTCCTCATCTACAGTATTGGACTAGGATAAACTTTAATGAAATTAAAAACTGCTGTTCATGCACTTCAGTTTGCTATATATTATCGTAGCATATCATAACATGACACACCTTCCCATAGCATAGCAAGTGGTAGCTCGTCAATCCAAACATTAGTTGTAAATCAGGAACTTCTTTATGACATAATATAACTGAACTTATTATAGTCAAAGCGTTTACAAATTTTATTTATTTTAGCTGGTTAAGTTTATGAAATGAAATATACTCTTATAAGCTTAGTTTAAAAAGCGTTAATTAAACGTGTCGACCATGAACATAAACAGTAAAACTTTCAATAAGCAAGATTAGCAATTCCCTTGTCAAATAACATCGATCGATGTTATTTGAATATGTTTCGTTATCGCATACTAGTTTTAGTGTGCCTCAAATTTTATCTTCTTTGCTGCTTTACCATTTACGAAATACGTTTAAAGGAAACTTAAGAAATCTTTTTGGTCTTTCTGGTTTCTATAAGGAAAGACTACATCCATACTAGCATAATATAGCTATTTGTTTAGACAATTGTCAAGAAAAACTTTTGTTCAGACTTATATAGGAAATACTATGAAAAAGGATTGTAACTTTTAAAAATCTATCGTTGTAACGACTTCGCACTCTTATGTTTAACAGAATTTGTTATCTTAATTCCCAGGAACACGCCTTAAGTTTTCATCTTTCTTATTGTAATTATTCACAAAATGGTCCCTTATTCAAATATTTTAAACTCAATTTCTGCACATTACAATTATTTTAGATAGATGGTCCAAAATCTTGACAACTAATGGTATTGCTGTGATAGGGTTCAGAGAAAAAATGAACACGATAGTACATTTTCCACTGTATATAATGTTCTCTGAGATATTTGAGAATCCACTTTATATCTTTATAAATAATAAATTACTCCAGGATAAGAACCAAAGCGGAGAAAGATAATGTATCCCATTGCCCAAGAGAGATGCTTGGAAGTACAATTAGATTAGTATGAGATCGGTTAAATATTTTGTTTTTAAAGTACATTTATTGAGCATTTTACATGTGTATTTACATTAATGTCAATACAGTCCACAGTAGAATAAATAATCTCTTCCATCTATATTTCTTTAAGAAATTAAATGCCAACTCCTGCAATGTAAGTGTTAATCCTTACTGAGAAGAACCATAAGTATTTAAGCTCAACTGCATGTAAAAAATTCAGTTCTTTCTTTACTATGCATTTAATAAAAAAGGTATGTTATTAATTTGTTTCATGATCTGTAACATAACACGTCTTACACTTACGTCCGTAGTCAAAGTTCCAATCAGTCTCAACAAACAATCTCCAATCAGCTCAGCCACATTGAGATTGTAATAGTAAACACGATCAGTCAATCACGAGTGATGAATCTGGTGTTGTGATGACTTGTTTCTTTACATTCAACCGTGTCAAATCAACTCTCATGAAAACGTTCGTTGGAACTGGAAAATGTGAGGAAAAATATTCAATCTATAACTTCTCCAACCTACAACTAAAAACACAAATATTTTGTTTTTACACTATTTCTTTTGATATGTACGATAATAGTTTATTAAAGCTTTATAGTGTTAAGACACTTACTTTAAAAGCCAGGAAATGATTTTCTATCTCGTCATAATCAATGGAAGGAGTATTTTATACGCAATACGATTGTTTAGGAGGTTGTTGGCCTCTTTAACCTTGGATTTAACTATCCACATAAGGCTGTTTGTCCCTTGTAATCAGCAAATATAGGAACCAGTAGAGGGAAAGAGTTCACCGTTGTACTTCTACAGTTCAGTGGTGAGCATCAGGAGTCAAACCTACGTCATTGATTCCATGAAGTCATTCTTCGTCTCACCAATATCTGAGCTACCATCTTACGTATACTTATGTTTAGGTGTTATAAACTATTAGGAAGTTATATTGACTCAAAGGTTTGTGTTAAGATAGCAGTGGTGATGTTCCCTTACTACAAAATAATAAAAATCTAAAGTTATTTGTAAAAAGACAAACCCATTAATCAAAGTAGGCCGTTTAACTAGGAGCCTGCTTGTTATTACTGGGTTTGTCAAGTGACATTATATTGAAACTGTTATTGATTGATGTTGACTACTGTGGACTAAATTTATTTCACAAAGGTATGATTATCGTTTGTCAGCTAAACTTCGATATTAAAACACCTCGTTGAATTATGTTAGAGATGAAACTCGTGGTCTTCCTTACTTTGACGAAGCAATATTGTAGCTTTGAGAGGGTATCGTGAGAAGTTGAGGTTGGAAAATCACTTTTGATGGAGGGAATTACTACTACTTCATGCTATATTATTCGTAATTTACTATATTGTAGTTAATTTGTAGTTAGTCTAAGATCAAATCTTCGCGCAATGAAAACAATTGAAATGCCAACAGCAAAGGTCGGATGTGTATTAATTCAAAATCAAACATAGTATGAAAAACGCAAAATTCATGCTTTGGCAAATAAAAACATACAGCTTTTTAGGGTTATTATTTAGATATTTGGTTACCTTAAACATTTTATGATTAATTATTCAAACGTGTAAAAAAGGTGGTATAAAACCTTTGTAAATCTGTATTTTCTGCTCAAAAATTTAGGTAGAGTTGTCATTTATTTTTAATGTGCTCATTTTCGTTAAGTATGCTTTGTAATAAGTAGAGGAATAATTTTGTTAATGCGCATAATACATTCTTAATAAGATAGTAAACATTTTACTGAATAATTAGTTAGTCTTCAACCATTGATTTTAGAAGGATGATTTTAGTTTTGGTTTCTATTAGCTGCTTTGAACTACTTACATATAAGAAACTCTGATATGAACAGAATGAAATATTGTGATTATTTTTTGTAATTTCTAACAGGGATTCAAAAATTAATTTAATTTAAAGCCCTAATCTTAATAAAAGCCAAAAGATAAAAAAGCCTTTTGGTTTTTAAAAAGCACAAACAGATAAACATACGCTAAACGGTTTCAGATTGGATACATGTTGTATGCATTTTTTGCTTGTTTTAACCTCCCGAATAATCTGGTAAAGTTTGACATAGTCAACGCTGGGCACCCTGTATAGTGTGACTGTACCAAGTAAGCCTACCCAACTACCTTTCTGTAGAAGGCGGCATTTACATTCCACTCTAACCATTGATTTTTGAAACAATAAAAACTGTGACACTGTCACCACAAATAACATAAATTAAAGTCGTAAAATATAGTAAAAGTGTACATTCTAGTGTTCCTTTTTTTATTTGATTTGATTTAAGCAGTTAGGCCTACGTATTAAATTACTACGACTAAATTAAAATGTATGGTAAACAAATTCAGGATAAAATGCTAGCTGAAAAGTAAATGAATTGCCAACACCAGGGCTCTCAAAATTAACTCACACAGGTAAAACAGCTTTATATTTTATGAAAGGATGTAAATTGTGTCTTCTTAATCGACCGACATTGTGACATCTTTTACATCCAATTTCCGTATTTTAAATGTTTACAATATGTGGTTAAATTCATCGGAGCGTCTTGGATGAAGTATTCGATTTAGTATTATAATCCTATAACTAATTATTGTGTTGGACAGGAAATATTTTATGCTTCTTCCCTTATCAAAACTACGAGAAAAGCTCTAAAAATCCGTAAAGTGGTTAGTTTAATTTGTGAAAATGAAGACGGTTGCCATTTTGAGGGCTAGTTTTCTTTTAAAACTTATTTGATCATAAGTACTAGTAAATAAATTTAAAATTAAGTTATACATAGTTGAAACGGATATTTTATCTACGTGTTGCTGGACTTGTGTAGTAGTACATGTAGTCTAATACCAAATGTGCAAGAGTCAAAGACACAACAATTGCTGCTTATAATCGATTGCTATTATCGATTGTAATTCATTGTTGCATTGTTTTCGGCTAAGGTGTGATTTTTTACTTAAAATCTGACAAGTTGAGCGACATGAAAAATAACAAATACATTTTTGTAAGGAGTTCAATACACCATTAACAGCTGTTTGTTTACACACAAAACAAAAAAAGGAGGTAAAACCAAAAAGGGAGCTACATTTGAGAACAACTTATACACACCCCTTCGCTGTATTTAAAATAATAAATTGGCTGTAATATCGTACAATAGGAGGGATAGTATAGTTTGTCACAAGGGGTTAAAATATCTTCTCTGTCGTTGCTTATTCTAATAACCTGGGCTGCACCTTATTCGTTTAACTTGAGCTGAGCTCTTATCTAAAAGAGTCATGATAGATAGACACCTATGTGATAAATTACGCCACTGATGACTGTTAATAAAAATAAAAAAAGACATATTCAAACACAAAGTGAATTATGTTATTATTGGATAATGAACTAATAAGCATATGAGATAATGCTAAGAAAAGTTATATTCTATTACACGAATTTTAATTTTAAAATACTATGGATGTGGTTACTGCACAGTACTATAGATAAAACATACTTCCTTCTGTTAAATAGTCTATGATAGTACAAAACCACTTAAAAGATTTTATTTTCGAAAGGTTGGACGTAGCTAAAATATAACGAAGCTTTGACTAATACTTTTTTTTATTTTACAACACAAATATTTTGTTTCAACACGTAACAACGTGTCGTTGTTTCAGTTCAAATAAATATCCAATTAAGGACTCACAAATTTTAAATTATTTTAAATTGTAAATAAGTTGTTAATCCTCAACTTTCACAAATTTGTTCATTGATAGAACCAACTAAAAAGCATTTATATGGTTAAAATTTCAACGAATTAGGTAATTTAATCAACTGGGGTAGAAAAAAAATTTAATATTGTACTATAAATTGTGTTGTTATATACATTGAACACAAACCTTTTCTGCAATAACGGTACTTATTTTTTAAATAAGTTACCTACAAAGGTATTCGAAACAGGACGTCTTCTTAGTCACATAATGTTTTACGTGAGTTCCTAAAATGTCGAGCAACTCCCAGATAAGTGAAAGGCCCTTTTTGCTTTAAAACCACGACTTCTTCCTTTTCATTTGCTCCTGAATTTCCTTAAACATTTGTAATTTCTGTTGTTCTTCCTCTCTTAAAACCTTTGCAACTCTTTCAACGGCAAGATCCTTTAATTTATTTTCATTCGCCCTTTCTTGTTCCTCCTTTGCCTTTTTACTATTCATCCACTGACGAAGATCCTTTAATTCACCTTGTCGTTTGTAATCTTCTACTTCTTTGATTTGTGTTAGCTCTCTAATCTCGTCCAAAGATAATGGCTTCTGCAGTTCCTTAAAATATAAACAAATGTTATCACTATCTCTATTTAAAATATGTATATTTTTTATACACATAAAGTTTATCCTTACAAAAACCTAAATGAGGTTTATCTCAAATTGTCATTAACATGACAACTAAACCATATTCACTCGGACGAATCGATCATGTCGTCATAGTGTTTACATGTAAGATGCTCATTACATACAAAATAATATTTTTTGCTCAATATAATAATAATATTTAACGCATGTCGTCATTTTTATATATAAACATCTAAGCCTTACTGCTTCAGAAATACAATAGAACTATCAAATACAATAGCTGTCCTGCATTGACAAATAATTTATTCATATTGTAAAATCTTTGATAGTATTGGTAACGCTAAGAACTACAAGTCAACTGCAACGATGTGGTTGGTTCGCATCCTGCCTCTAGGTTTTATCAGTACAGTTCCCTACTGTATTGTACCGTCTTATCGCTTGCTTTGTCACACTCTGCGCAGGCCCGAGGCCTAGGAGAACGGGGAAAAGCAAGATTAAAGTAGGCCACTAACATCTTTTTGACTTGTAACATTAGTAAGGGCAGTTCTAAATAGAAAGTCTACTTACGTCGATAATGTTTTATGGGACTACCGGGTTTAATACCTGTGCTTCCCTTGCTCAGGGAATCGGCAAACATCTGCATATTCACAAGCACATAGGACTTGGCTGAATCTCTGCTTATCCTAATCGTAGTCAATAGAACGACTATACATAGTTAAAAATTACTGGTTGTTTTAAAGACCCTACACACCACGATCATATAGATCAGTACTAGTAGTTGTCAAGCTTGTACTTATCTGGAAAACCCCACCTCTCTTTGATCATCCAAGTGTTACCTAGTCTGATACTCTAGATACCCTGTCGATAAACTGGTGCTTTTTTGTTTTTTTTTTAGTATCTGTTCACTTCTAATATTTGTTGACAATCATACACTATGCTTACTTTAGTTAAATCACGAAGTATTACTTATAAGACATATTTGCTGTTCTTTAACATATACATTATATTTGATTGTTTTTGCATGTACTTTAATCATACCTTAATCAAGTAGTACTGATCATTGATAAGTCTCTTCTCCTCTTGGTTAAGTTCCTCCAGTCTAGTCTTGTATATCTCCGCCAAGAGACTATTGTCATCTTCAGACTCCTGTAGAGTTTGCCAGTCTTGGTTATCTTCCTCTCTTGACATTGTCTCTGTGTCTTGTTCAGGATCTCCCACTCTGGCTTGACAGGTGTTCTTCAAACCCTCCTTGTCCACCACCATCTTACACTCCAGCCCTCCACAGCAGTTTGTGTCCATGATACACTGTAAAAGGTAAACTTTGTAATGACAAATTAATAATACACATCGTTAATAGTCGTCCATCAGGTTGCTGTATCCAATAGAAGTAATTAAATCAGTAAAAGTATTATAAAACAGTACATTTACATGTTATACAATATAGGCTCATATAAACAGTACCAAAAAGGAAAGAAAGGTGACTATTTCAGTACTGGTAATATTAGTACTCGTAGTATTTGGAATAACTTTGTTTTACAAAAAAAGAAAGCTTAGTTTATCATTCTCCTCAAACACCTCTTACGAAACATTTTCTTTGGTAGGCTCTAGCCTAGACTTTTTTACACATATCTTTAGGATTGGTTTTAAAGTGACATTATTATTTGAATAAAATCCCTAAGTGATTAGTATTGGGACCCGGTACCTCGGGGACCGAGACGTCTAACTCTACTACTAAACCAGTTAGCTCTAACATAATAAACAATGGGTAGTGTTACTAATTCAGGTTAATATTAATATAGTGTCAGCAAATGATATTTTTGAATCATAATTGGGACTTAAGTCTCAAAAGTTGGATTTGTTTCCCATCATCACAAACTTAAAGTTTTAAATTATCAATCTAAATTATTTAAGTAATTATTGAATAGTTAATATGTTGACTAAAACAAAAATGTCGCTTAAAAATAAGTTTTCTGTTAAAAAGCGTTTCAAAAATGATCAACCATTTACTTTTATGTTTATAAAAATGTAAACTCACCCCCTCATCCTCCAGTGCGCAGTTTGGATGTGGGTTGACGTAAATTGGAAATTTGAAGTAATCCGTTAAGAATCCGAGGTTGTACTTCTTCTCAAAATCTTTTCCAAGCTGGTTGAGGTTTAAAAAGAAGGCAGAAGAATACAAAGGCAAAGCCAACAAAGTGGCTAGGTTTGTCAACAAAACCATAGTAACTTACAGACCTGCTTTTGGAAGTAAACATTGTCACTCTGCGTTGTCAGTAATGATCTCAAATTAGTTCTCAATCTGATTAGATCACTGATATACAACAGCGAGTCATCGTGATCAACTGATAGTGAAACGTATACCGTATTGACGATGTAATGAAGGCTGTTTGAAATACACATTAGTAAATTTTTGTACTTGTCGACAACTAAACTATTATTATATGAGTGATGTAAAGACTTGCTCGCGTATTTAAACCAGTAATTATTATTTTTGTAATTTTATTATTTATATCGATTAACAAATTGACAAGCAATAATCGATTGAGCTTGGATGATGTCACATGTTACAGTAAAGGTCCAAATCATTAAATGTTAAAGAAGTTGATTTCTTATATCAATACTATGTAATATAAAAATGAGGTGGTGCCTGTCTGTCTGGCTGAGCGTATTTGAGGTTGAAATAATTTTAAAGAAATAATGAACATCGTAAAATTTATAGTTAAGACCACAATAACCTTAGAAATATTTAAAAGGATGTTTTTCACAAAGAATTCTCATTAATAAGTCTTTTGTGTGATGCTATCTCCTTTGCACAGGTGTTTTGCTGCCAGACTTTGCTTACCGATCTATAATTTCTCAAAGGACCTCAATTATAATGAAATTCGTTATTATTTTTGTCTCTATCTAATATTATATCAGTTTGTAGCTGATTTTGCACTTAAAACTGAAATCTTTTGTAACTCTACAAATTCGCATGAATAATTCCATGATTGTACTGTAAATGAGTAAATTATTGAAAAGTATGTGTTATTTTGCTGAATGCAACAGGGCAAGATTGAACCCAAGTTAGAATACCACTTATATGAATTGCTTCCATAAAGTACGTAGTCAGTACAATATTATTATTATTAATTAATTAGTAATAATTATTACTAATAATAATATTGTACTGACTACGTAATTTATGGAAGCAATTCATATAAGTAGTATGCTATGAATAATAAATATTATTATTGATTAATTAATAATAATTAAATGATTAATCAATTATATTATTATAACCATTACAAATTAAATAATATAAATTAATTAATTTCTACGGTATATCTTGTAGAAATACTCTGTTCTGAAATGAAACGTTGCGATATAACGGCTGACTTGTCTTATTTAGGTTATCAAAACTTCTACAATATTAGTTGACATTTCTCAAACGTGGAGAAAATATTTTCACATAAATGAGCTTTTTATTACCCTATATTATTCTTAACGCGCAAATGTACGCTTTTGGCCAACTATACTAAAAACCCAAATGCAGAATTTTATGATAATGTTTTTGCCAACACATTTTTTTAAACTGCTTTAATAAATCTTATAATTCCGTAGTCGTTTTTTTCATTAAGGGTTTTGGTGCAAAACGATTTGGATACTGTAAGTATAAAAGTTAAGGTTTTATTCATTCTTAAATTAGGATATACATCAGATGATTATTAAGTGGAACTTCCAGAAAAGAAAACCTGGTTCCTAAGATTTAAATATACATTAAATGGTAAATAATAGATTATATTCGGTAAATATGCCTTAAACCCGTTATCTAGCCTATTATATTTAAAAATATGCTTACATTAAAATAAAATGTAGTGTTAACCAAAGCTACATTAAAATAACAGGCCGTAATGCTCGTCAAGCATGACGTCACGATAGAAGACGGCAATGACGTAATGTTTGCCGTTTGTGATCAGCTGCTTGTTTTAATCTTTCTATGGAAAATAAATTACAAGCGTAAATATATGTTTTAAGTGTTATAAGACGTTTCTTTTATTTACTTTCCGTAAATTTTATAATGTTTTTAAATATATATATATACATTGTTGTTATAGTTATTGATAATTTTGTTTTTATGTTAGTATTAAATGCATGGCATGAAAGTGTAAGTAAAAGTGAAGGGAAAAGACAAGAAGAAACCCACTGAAGCAATAATAAGTGCATGAACTGCTTCAATGTAAATGGTGTTTAAACTGTATTGAAGCATGTGAATAAAATAAAATGCTGATCAAGAAGTTATTTAAAATAAATAAATAAATACCTACGTCATTACCGTCTTCCATCGTGACGTCATGTTTGACGAGCATTACGGCCTGTTTTTTTTTTTTTTTTAGTGTGGCTTGAACCTTCTTACTTGAGACATTTACAGTATAAATGTTCCTCCCATGAAAAAACAAAAACCGAGAATAAGAGAAAAGAAACTTAGCCCAGACGACTTAAACTGTCAACGTCATGTATTCTGTTTTTATGCTGCACACACCATGTGCAGATGTTCAGTACACACAGTGTGTCTTCACCACCTTCTGTTGTGCTAGACATTACAACAATAATGAAAAAAACCTTAATGGAGACTCGTAATGAAATATAAAAAATAAGACGAAACATTTTGAACTTGTAATTATTGAGGTCATTTAGGTACATAGCGTGAAACATGTATGATGCAAACAGACGTCTACTATATCGTTCGACGTCTACAAAATAAAAGTAATAAACATATTGTGAATTCCTGTCGTCGCATCAATGACATAAATTAATATTACATGACAAAACTCTTTGAAATTTTGGAGAATATTTTTATCCGTATATATTTTAGGTTTACTAGTTTTAATAAATTAGTTCTACAATTTTAACAAATAGAGAACCAATTGAAACTATTTTATGGCTTGTTCTCAATAATAACACCAAACACAACAGTAATCACTCCACATGACAAAGTAATGAATCATTTGGAATTTACCACTTTAACAATAATCTAGAGGCTAAATTAAAATAAATATAAAAATTGCTTGGCCTACCTTTTTTCGTGGGGTTTTCAGTTCCAAGCTTTTATTTTACCAGATAACAAAGTGTTCAACATTTCTATCTAATATGAATATTTATATTCATAAAAGTAGAAACTACTATACATACAAATTAAAATCACAAATCAATTTGGGCTTGCAAAGTAAATATCACCTTAAATATCAATAAAAAAATTATCGTTTGTCTTTAAAGGATCTGTCTCTGAATAATGTGTGTTAAGTATTGTTAATTATAGAATGTAAAGTATTTTATGTAATGCAGTGCTTTTATTGTTTTTTAATAAGGGTGATTAAGTAGGCCTAGCACTGTTTCAGTTCTTATTTCTCATATAAAGTAAACGATGATCTGTATAATTCATAGATTGAGAATTATTAAAATCCAGTAATAAAAACGGAACCATTGTTTTGAGCAAGTTTCCAACTAACGTATCATAGTTCTGTGTGTTTATTTTTCTGTAAAGTTTTTTTTATGAATACACCTAAATTTAACATTTTCCGTATTGCTTATAACATGTTATGATGTTATAGTGTTGTGTATTAGACACATCACATATCCGTGTACTCTTTTAGTAAAAAAAACCCTAATGTGTATCGCCTGCTTCAACGTATCATTTACTCCCATATGTTTTAAAGATCATGTAAAGTTCTCTTTGACCTTGGCCTTGCGACATTTGTAGATTTTTAATATTATTGTGAATGATGATGGGTCCTAAATTGAGGAACCTGTGGGTATTATCACATATTTTTTTTACTTTACTGAACCTAGTTGACACTATAAACACAAACATTACAAACTGTTACATTAATTTTAAGTGCACCTTTTATGGGTCAATACAAAATATTTTCTGAGTGAGAAGGATATGATATGCTCAAAATTTATTAAAATATTTATAAAATGACGAATTTGGGATTACGACCTTGCCATATAAAGCTCCCATGTGCGATATCTTAGAGGATATGTTTTATATGCAACAATACATGTAGTAGAAAATAACACTTTTGGATATTACCCAAGCAATTGAGTGCGATATATTCCATTTAGTAATTAATACTTGGTTGTTTGATATAAGTCCGTATCCCGGCCTAAGTAAAAATTAACCTTGGCTTTGGCTCGTTACTCATTTACTAGAAGTAAAAAACTCAGCGTTTCCTTAGGCATACCGTAGCCTACTTTAAAGTGGTTAATTAATGAACATCCCTATAAAATTTATTTGAGCTATTTCTAGAGATACCTAAAAAATAAATAAGGGTGATGAAATTAAATGTTAACATGTAGAAATTGTTGGTCAATACATTCAAAAGCGAATCTGATAAACAATCAAAGATTATCTGAAAAATAAACAAATATATTTAAGAATAAACATTTGGGTATTCCCAATCCATAATAAATGATCATGAAACTACTTTCAACATTGAACAGATACATGTTGGTAAACATACTGAAATGCAAATCATATGATTGTTTATTGGCAACTGTTCTTATCATGACGTCCTTTGTATGGGGCTCGCAATTCCCCACCCTCAACTAAGTAATTAATTTAGTCTAAAGATAATACCTGCATTTGTAAAAATGAGGCGAGAACATCCCTGAGGGCTGGCATGTCGAATAGAGTTGCAGTGTGGCTATGTTTGAACTAGTTACGAAAGTGTATGTTCTGTGGTGATGATATCAGTTGGTGTTAATTATTACTTTTGAATAATATAAACGTTGACTAGTATTTGTTAAGTAGTACTGTGAGATATTAAATCGATATGTTTATATTTCTCAAAAAATATTTAACCATTATTGTGTTTATTGATGTAGTGTAAACCGTAATTTAATTGTTTTGTAGTAGACTTATATAGATTATTTTAACGATAAAGGACATTAAATACAACAGAAGATAAACGGTAAAAAATTCTTTGGTGTGAGAGTATTTTAAATTTGAATGAGAAAACTAATTTTTTCAAACGATTGATCAATGGATATTATTTGATAAAATATTTTATAAAAGTATGTTTTAGTTATGAAAAGCAGATAAAAATGCTTTTGAAATGCGCCATTTAATCTATTAGAATATTTTTAATTAACGAACTATATTTGATTTAAGAATTAGTTTTATCGATAACAAATGTGAAGTATCCGTGCTTACAATACTAATATTTTTACCCTTATAAGATCATTAATATTAATAATATTTAAAAAATAATATTGT